CTGCTTCTCCGGCCATGCTGAGGCCGCGTCCCACATACAGCAACTAGAAGGATGTGCAGCTGTGACACACAACTATCTACTGGGGCTTTGGGGGGAAAAATAAATAAATAAAATCTTAAAAAAAAAAAAAATAATGTGATTTGTACAAATAGAAAGTGATTAGCAAACCTCCTGGCTTGTGGTAATTATTATGACCCTCACTGTATTTCACTACCTTTCTGCTCAATTCCACATGTATCGGGCCATCTTGTGCTCACTAATTTAGTTTCCTAGGTATTTTATCTTTAGAACGAGGTAACTTGGATTGCAGATATGCATGTTCTGTCCTCGCAAAGGAGTAACTCCCATTGTAAACTACTGATTTAGCATCCCTGTTCATGCACCAACTTCTTGTGAGTTTGGTTAATGTGAGTCAGTCCCCCTCAGCTGGCTCACATCAATGTGCACAGACGAAAGTGCTTGCAAAAGTTAGGGCAACCCCAGGGTGGGGCTGTCTGGTGAGCTACAATCCGGGTGTCCTACAGTCTCACTATGGACCCAGTTACCATCACTGCGAGGGTGTTGGGAGTGATAGGCCAGGGAGAGAGACTTGAAGAGCATAGCTAGCCTTCTCAGCCATGCCTGCTTCCCACAGCCTTGCCAACCATCATGTTGTCAAACTTTGGCCTAATATCCAGTGGTATCTCATACTGTGAGCAAAGTTGTGTATCTTTTCATGTGCTAAAGATCCACTATTATTTTCTTCTCTGTGAACTGAGGAAATTCTGTGAATTTCCTATCCTTTGCCCATTATTCTCTGAATTATTGATCTTTTTGCATTTCTATCTCTAACCCACTTCGTATTTATCCTAGTATATGAATTCAGGTATAGATCTGATTTTATTTTTTCTGGATGGCTTCTCAGTTGTCCCCATATTATCATATATGGAATAGCCCATCTAATCATCAATTTCAGATGCCACCTCTAGCACATAAAAAAGTCCTCACACATATATTTTTGTCTATTTCTGGACTTAAAAAAATCTTCTGATATCTTAACTTTTTAAAATTTTTGATTCAACTGATTCTTCGGCATCACACCTACTCTGTGCCTGTCACTGTGTGGGTCCTGGGATCACACAGGTGAACATGCCTTTGTCCCTGTGGTCGGCAAGGGGCATCTGTCACGTTCTTCCATTCCTCCTCTGGCCGCCACTCAACCATATCCACTGTTCACAAAGCTGCCAGGGGAGCCTGTGCACAACCAGAGAATGTCTGCCCATGCCAAGGCTGCCAACTCCAGGTGCTCCTAAATGTTCTGTCCTCGGGCATCAGAGGGCTGCTAGGTCCCCCGCCAGCTGGGAAGGAAGCCTCGTCAAGCCCAGGCCCTACTGTGTCTGTTTTTCCTGGCCCTGCAGCAGCCCTGCGTTCATCTCAATTTTTACCCTGTCCTCTTGGACAGCTCCATTAGGTTCTTTTCATCACATCAGCTCCCACAACTAGTTGAAGAGACCTGGTTGGAGAGACATACTATTTTCTTTTCTCTGACCTCCTCTCCCTTCTCTCTGACCCCTCCCTCTCCCTCTCAATTCTTCTCTCTCCTTCCTTCTCCTTTTCCCCAGTTACAAAACAAAAGCTTTCGTCCTGTGACTAGCAACAGAACTAGGTCAGTCTGTCTGACTTTGCAATGGGGAGAGGAGATTGTTTTCTCTAGCAACAGCCAGCAAAGTCAGGGTTACATATGCCTTCTTTTTAAAAGGATTCAAGGTGGACATTTTGCCACAGCCTTGCTGCTCAAAGTGTGGTCCCCACACCAGCAGCATTGGCATCAACTGGGAACATGTTAGAAACGCAGAACCACAGGCTTCAGACCTACTGAATCAGAAGCTACTGGAATGCATGTGCACGTTAAGGTTTGAGAAGCGTTCTCCTACAGGACTGGATGACTGAAGGAGAGAGACTGGGGCAGAGAGAAGCAGCAAATATTCTATTTTTCAGGATCTCAACTCTCACTACCAATACCTGAAACCCAATTTCTCACCACTCTTCTCTCACCCTTACCTTCTAATTCCCTGAGGAGAGTCTGCAAAGCAGTTTCTAGAATCTTCTGGTGGTGAAAGACAGAGAAATGGTTTTCTTTTCTTTTGCTGAGGAAGATTAGCCCTGAGCTAACATCTGTTGCCAATCCTCCTCTTTTTGCTGGGGAAGATTGGCCCTGGGCTAACATCCATGCCCATCTTCCTCTACTTTACATGGGACACCACCACAGCATGACTTGACAAGCAGTGTGCTGGTCTGCACCCAGGATCCAGGCCTGGGAACGCTGGGCCACTGGAGTGGAGCATGCGCACTTAACCACTGCGCCACCAGGCTGGCTCCTATCGGTGGATCCTTATTCCCTCTACTTTGTGAGGAAAGTGGGTCAGGGTTTATGATCCCCATTTAACAAATGAGAAAACTGAGCTTCAAAAAGGACATTTGAGTTAACCAAACCTTTCCAAGACAGACTCAAGTGTGTTGGAGATCTGATCCGAGAAGCTGGAAACCTGGCTAATGGGGCGCAATGTGGGGAGCCTGGCGGGGTGTTTAAGCTACGAACCCGGTTGGGGGCCACCCCGCTCCTTCACCTTCGCTTCACCACCCCTAGGGGCGCTGTGTCATCATCTCCGCTAAGACCCGATTTTTTCTTTGCGGCATCAGGGCCAGCAGGGGGCAGCAAAGGCAGCCCCGCCTCTCAGTGTGTCAGGGCTTCTCAGCAGCCCGGAAGTCATCCATCCTGCGCTTACCTGGCTGACAGGGAAATCAAGATTCCGAAAGGAAATGTTCGGGGTCATCCAGGTGTCTCACAGACCGAGGCTTAGAGCCCAAGCTCCCTGTTGAGAGCCTCTCAAGTAGTCACACTCCATGATGGTGCCTGATTTCACCCATTCCAAGACACACATTTTTTTCATATCTTTACATCTCAAAAACCAGGATTCATTTCACATTGGGTGCCAGGAGAAATCACTGTCGCTATTTACGTGGCAGCGCGTCTTCCTTCCTTTTTTTCTTTGTTTTTTTTTTGTGACGAGGATTAGTCCTGAGCTAACACCCCTTGCCAATCCTCCTCTTTTTTGCTGAGGAAGGTTGGCCCTGGGCTAACATCCGTGCCCATCTTCCTCTACTTTATGTGTGGGACACCTGCCACAGCATGGCTTGATAAGCGGTGCATTGGTTCACACCTGGGATGGAACCTGCGATTCCCGGGCTGCCAAAGCAGAGCGCGTGAACTTAACCGTTATGCCACCAGGCTGGCTCCTTCCTTTCTTTCTTAGGGGTACATAAAATAATGTTGCCTCTCACAATCGATGACATCTTAAATTCGTGAAACACTATAATAGTAAAAGCCTCGGGGCCGGCCCCGTGGCTTAGTGGTTAAGTGCATGTGCTCCACTACTGGCGGCCCCGGCTAGGCCTGGGGGCGCACAGCTACGCACCACTTGTCCGGCCATGCTGAGGCCTCGTCCCACATACAGCAACTAGACGGATGTGCAACTATGACGTACAACTATCTACTGGGGCCTTGGGGAAAAAAAAGGAGGAGGATTGGCAATAGATGTTAGCTCAGGGCTGGTCTTCCTCAGCAAAAAGAGGAGGATTAGCATGGATGTTAGCTCAGGGCTGATCTTCCTCACACACACACAAAAAAAAGCCTCCATTTATTGAACCCTCTGTGTGTCATGGATTATTTCCTTTAATCATCACAACATGTCTAGGATGGAGATATTATTACCTTTACTTGGCAGGTGAGGAAACTGATCAGAGAGAGAGAGAGCAACTAGACCACATTTGCGCACCTAATAAATAATGCAAGCTGGTGTTCAGAGGACTTACCTGGCCCTGCTTCTAACTATACTTTGTTCCTTCCACAACAAAAGATTCTGGGTCTTGAATGATAACAAGCTTTATTTAAAAATGGAAATGTGTGGGCCGGCCCCGTGGCTTAGTGGTTAAGTGCGCGCGCTCTGCTGCTGGCAGCCCAGGTTCGGATCCCGGGCTTCTCCGGCCATGCTGAGACCGCGTCCCACATACAGCAACTGGAAGGATGTGCAGCTATGACATACAACTATCTACTGGGGCTTTGACATACAACTTTCTACTGGGGCTTTGGGGGAAAAAATAAATAAATAAATAAAATTATAAAAATGCAAATGTGCAAGTGGCTATAATCAGGTGACAGCATGGGAAGTTCCCTGAGGGCCAATATGAGTTAAAATCCAGACTGGAAGGGGTGGAGTGGGATGTGGAATAGAATCCTAGAGCTGGAGGGAAGTCTGAGGTCAGAGGTGGGTTGGGAGAGGCAGTGTGCACAGGGGAGGCAGAAGCGGGGCTCAGAAAGGGAGATGAGAAGGAAGAGGGCACAATCTTGGCAGATTCACCCTGAAAATCCCTCCTCTGGCTTGAGGACTGGCTCAGAGGGTTGGAAATATTTCCCCCAATTCAGCCCAGCCCCCCCTCCTCCACCCCAAGCACCTCCCCACCTGATCCCTGTTCTTTCTAGGGTAGGAGGGGAGTAAGAGGGAAATGAGAGAGGAACAGATGCAAACAAGAACTCACTTCCTCCTTCGAGCATTTAATTATTGAGACAGTCAAGTGCCTTTCTCTTCCTCTTATTATTGTTGGTTTTCATCTAAATATTTTTAGAATTAGTTTATATGACAATAAATGTGCTGTGAAGATGAAACCAGGGGCCAACCTGCTTTAACTACACTCAGTTGTCTGTTTGCAAAAGTAGTTAAGAATGCATTACCATGGGCCGGCCCTGTGGCTTAGCGGTTAAGTGTGTGCCCTCTGCTGCTGGCAGCCCGGGTTTGGATCCCGGGCGCGCACCGACGCACCACTTCTCCGGCCATGCTGAGGCTGCGTCCCACATACAGCAACTAGAAGGATGTGCAACTATGACATACAACTATCTACTGGGGCTTTGGGGAGAAAAAGGAGGAGGACTAGCAGTAGATGTTAGCTCAGGGCTGGTCTTCCTCACAAAAAAAAAAAAAAAAAAAGAATGCATCAGGGGGCCAGCCTGGTGGCACAAGTGGTTAAGTGTGTGCGCTCCACTGCGGTGGCCCGGGGTTCGCCGGTTCGGATCCCGGGCGTGCACCGACGCACCGCTTGTCAAGTCATCCTGTGGCGGCATCCCATATAAAGTGGAGGAAGATGGGCACGTATGTTAGCCTAGGGCCAGTCTTCCTCAGCAAAAAAAAGAGAGGATTGGCAGATGTTAGCACAGGGCTGATCTTCCTCACAAATGAACAAAAAAAAAGAATGCATTAGTAAAGCCCACCCTATAGATAACCTCTCTGATGCCTGGGTCACCATGGTAACGGGCACTTAAGTTTTTTGGGAACTGAGATTTGACTCTTTGTCCAGTTCGGGTCGGTTAAGACCACTGACTCATCAACTGGGCCTGTGTGAATGCCCAATAGGTGACCCCTTGACATCAGGGGGCCGAAAACTCCACCCTCAGATCATAACACCACCATTTTGTGAACATGAGTCCTATGAAGAGCTATGAAGCCTGACTACCCTTGTGCAGATCATCAATTACCTCACTTCTCCTCACCTCCAATCATCTATTCCCACACTTCAGACCACCCTGCCCCTCTATCCCATAAATATCCCTAATCCCCATTTTCAGAGAGGCAGATTTGAGACTTATTTTCTCATCTCCTTGCTTGGCTGCCTTGTGAATAAACCCTTTCTCTGCTGCAAACTCATCATCTTGGTGATGGGCATACCGTGTGGCAGGCAAAATGAGCCTGGTTTGGTAACAATTATAAATGTCCAGTGACAAGACTCAATTTCATCTTTTTTTGTGTGTGTGTGAGGAAGATTAGCCCTGAGCTAATATCTGTTGCCAGTCCTCCTCTTTTTGTTGAGGAAGATTGGCCCGGGGCTAACATCTGTGCCCATCTTCCTCTATTTTATGTGGGACGCCCCCACAGCATGGCTCAACAAGCGGTGCGTAGGTCCACGCCTGGGATCCGACCTGTGAACCCCGGGCTGCCAAAGCAGAGTGTACGAACTTAACCACTATGCCACTGGGCCGGCCCCTCAATTTCATCTTTTGCATCTGGAAACCCTTGTTTATCTGCTGTTGCAGATGACACCCTGGGGTGCTAGGAGGAGAAGGAACTAGCACCCCTTTTTACAAAGGAGGAAAGAAATCCAGCAAGGCTCAGTGCTACACCATGCCCTCAGCAGAGCTGGGGCATCTCTACCAGCCATAGCCGAGTGCCCACTGTGAGGGCTGGCACCTTCCAAGCATTCATGAGGTTTTCCAACAACCCTCCTAGGAAAGGCTCAGAGACACTGAGTGACCTGCCTAAGTCCCCCCAGCTAGTAGGTGACACAGGCAGGACTGAACCTGAGTCTATTTGACTCCAAAGCCCAAGCTGACTCTACTACCTGGGTTGCCTGAATCGACAGGCTCTCCAGGAATCTGTTCCCTGGTTCAAGGGCAGCTCCCTGCACCTGCCACCGCCCCCCCCCACCATCCACCACCACAGTGTTTGAGGCTGGGGCTGGGTTTGAAGTACCTTTTGCACCTATACCGTTCCTCTGCCCCCGGCCCTGAAGCTGGACACAGGCTCTGCTGTTTCCAGAAAGATTTGTATCTGTGGGCAAAGGTGTGTATGTGTAGGAGGTAGGTCAATAGCCTACCCAGTCCCTGCTGTCAGAAGCCTTCTTGGGCTTCAGGAAATGATCCCCTCCCCTGGCCACTCCACCTACTGGGGATGCAAGTCAGGTAGGACAATAAATAATACCAACCTGTAGCTAAACAATTTTATATTTTATCATACATTTCTCATCCCTTAATCTATTTGGTCCTGATACCAGCCCTGTGAAGAAGGTAAAAAGTAATACCCTTCTCATTCTAAAGGCAAGGAAACTGAGGCTCAGAGAGGTTAGGTAGCGTCTCCAGGGTCAGAGGAAGAGGTAGACACTAGGCTTGAGCCCAGCATTAGAAATCCCCAGGACTAGGGCACTCTCTAATAGGCACTCCACCTGCCTTCATGAGGCTCAGACCACAGTAAGGGCTAATTGGGTTTTGTATTTTCTTTCCTTTTGACTCAGCACAGGGGGAGGAGATGGAGGATGGAGGGAAAGGTAACTCCAGAGACCTTTGAGGGGAAGGGGGTCAGCAGAGGGTCAGATGAGGATGCTGGAATCCTGGGAAGGGTAGGAGAAAGAAACCAGAGAGAAAACTGAGCTGATTTCGGAATTGTCCCTAGGGCCCATTGAGACTCAAAATTAAGGTGGGAAGGTGTCTTCTACTTACCTGGAGAGAAAGGTACTTACAGACATTCCCTAGGAGGCTTGGGAAAAACACCTCCACGCTCTCCAAGGTGGAGTGTGGGGGGGTGGGTAGGGGCAAGGGGGGAAGGGGGGTGCCCAGTTGCCCTGGTAGTGGCCACATTGTGAGGTGGTTCTGGTTACAGGCTGTGGGGTGTGGGGTTGCAGTGAGAGGAGACTGGGGTGGTGGGGGCAGTGGCAGCGTCCTGGGCTCTGCCTGCCCCCACCCCCTGCCTGGGGGTTTCTGCCACCACCACCACCATGGGCAGCGCTTACCACTGGGAGGCCCGTCGCAGGCAGATGGCTTTGGACCGGAGGAGGTGGCTGATGGCCGAGCAGCAGCAGCAGCAACAGCAGCAAGAGCAGGTGCATGCAAGGGGCCTGGTTTATCAGGGTCCTTCCAGGGGCAGGAAGGGAATGGGGAGGCAAGACAGACCCCTAGGAAGCCTGTCTCCTATCTGGTGGATGTTGTTTTGCTGGGGGTAGGAGGAAAGCAAGGTCCTTTGATGTTCTCTCGGATGGAGTGTGTGTGTGTGTGTGTGTGTGTGTGTGTGTGTGTGTGTGTGTGTGTGTGTGTGTGTTCTCTCGGATGGAGTGTGTGTGTGTGTGTGTGTGTGTGTGTGTGTGTGTGTGTACTGGGGAGACTCAGCTTTGCTGTTGTACTAGGCTGAGGCTTTGTGGAGGATTGAGGGAGTCAGGCCTGGGAGGTTTTGAAGCTGCACTGTCCAATAGGGTGGCCACCAGCCTGTGTGCTACTGAGCCCTTGAAATTTGGCTAGTGAGACCGAGGAACTGAATTTCGACTTTTATATACATTTAATTCATTTAAATATGAATTTTAAACAAATACTCAATTTACAGCTTGGAAAACTTTTAAGTATGTTTGGAACAACTTGGGTATGTTAATCTACTTTTTCAACTGTAAATTGTATGAAATCTCAATACAGCTCAAATATTTTTGATGAAAGTGTAGTGTCCAAATTAAGATGTGCTGTTAAGTGTAAAACACGTGCTGGGTTTTGAAGACAGTACAAAAACAAAGAATATAAATTATCTCAATAAGATTTTCATATTGGGGGCCGGGCTGGTGGCGCAAGTGGTTAAGTGCGCGTGCTCCGCTGCGGCGGCCCGGGGTTTGCCGGTTCGGATCCCAGGCGCGCACTGACACACCGCTTGTCAAGCCATGCTGTGGCAGCGTCCCATATAAAGTGGAGGAAGATGGGCATGGATGTTAGCCCAGGGCCGGTCTTCCTCAGCAAAAAGAGGAGGATTGGCAGATGTTAGCTCAGGGCCAATCCTCCTCACACACACACGCAAAAAAAGATTTTCATATTAATTACATGTTGTGGATGTATTGGGTTAAATAAAATATATTATTAGAATTAGTTTCGCCTGTTTCTTCTTACTCTTTTTATGTGGCTACTAGAAAATTTAAAGTTACACATGGCATGCATTATATTTCTATTGGACAGTGCTGTTTCAAAGCATTTGCAAGAAATTATTCTTTATCCTCTGGCACTGCAAACTATTTTCAGTGCACGTCTCCCAAGCTAGGAGGTAGGTGCTCAGAGACTGCTGTTTCCTAGGCAGGGGCAGTGCCAGGAGGAACTGTCACCATAGAACAATTCTTGGGTGTTGTGGTGGGTGAAGGGAGATAGCCCAGGCTCCAGCCACAGCCTCCAACTCCAGGGAACCGAGACTCTGGCCACCTCTGCCTCTTCATTCGCTTGCCTTGCTCCCCGCAGTGTCTCTGGCAAATGGGTGACTGGGTGGGGAGGGAGGAGGATGCCACTTGCCGAGGGCTTCTTGCCAGGAACTGAAGAAACTCCAAGAGGAGGAACGCCAATCTGAGAAAAAAACTCAGCCACCTCAGAAGTCGCGGCAGCCGCCCCAGCCGCAGCTACCAGAGGAGCAGCCGCCACCCTCGCCGCCACCGCAGCTGCAGCCGACAGCCCCGCCACGGAAGCCGCAGGCGCAGCCACAGCCCCCGCCCTTGCCACAGCCACCAACTCAGCCAAGGCAACAAAATGTCCAAGACCCTCTTACTCAGTGCACCTCTAAGGACATTCTCCAGGCTTCCCAAAGGCCAGGTCCTCAGCTTGGCTTAGTGGGGACCGATCAAGCTGGAGGGCAATCCACCTACTTTTACAAAAACAGATTACAAGGAGAGAGGAAAATCCCTCAGGGCCCTGGTAAGTGAGATGCCTGGGAGTGGGGAGGTGGTTAGGAGAGTCCCTTGCCCCCATTCCAGCCCTGTAGTCCAGATTCCACATTTGTCATCCCACCCTCTCTGACTCTCCCCAGTACCCTTGGCCTTTACTTGAGGGCTACTCCCTCTGGGTGTGTTTGTGCCAACCTAGGGCTGCAAAGAAGGCTGCCAACTTCTGCAGAGGGTGGCTGAGTTGTCAGCGCCTCCTCCAGGGTGAGGGTGACAGAGGGGGTGAGGATGGTCAGAGGCTGGGATATGAGTTGTAAGCTTAACAACAGATCTACTGAGCCCCGCGAGATCTGGAACAGGGAAGCACAGCGTGGCTCCCGAGTTGCCAATTTTCAGGGTAGGCTCAGTCTGTACCTGGCCCCAGGTAGGGGCTGCTTCCTGCCTGCCCGACACATAGTCGAGTCCAGCTCTGCCATGTTCCATCCTCAGAAACCGCCAGATGAGTAACGTGTGCTTTGTTTCATCATCAGGTTTCCGGAAATCCTACAAATCCAGCACAGACAAATACCCTGCGGACTCACGATTCACGGTGAGGCACAGTGTGAAAGGCAGACTCTGGCTGTGTGTCTGCAAGAGTGCTTGTGTCTAAGTGCATGTGGAGTCTAGAGGCTTCCTCGGCAGGGATGGGGAAGGGGCTGCAATTCCAGTCACTTCTGGATGGCCTGTTCCCCCATAAACATGTCTAGGCAGCGCCTGTTGGTCAGCACTAAGTGGAGGGGTTGACAGTCTATTTGGAAAGATAGGACAGGTCCCAGAGAAGCAAAATAAAGGGGCTGTTCTAAGTGCTGATTGGGGCAGAGTCAGCTGGAGCTGGAAGAAGGCAAGACCTGAAGTCAGAGGTTGTGAGTTTTGATCAGGATCACCACTCCCTGGTAGCGTGAATTAATCTTTGAGCCTCAGCTACTCCGTCCATAAAATGAGAATGATAATACCACCTCCTTAGTGGAGGTGTCACAAGGACCGAATGGGGCAATTAAAAGAGAAGCCATCAAAAGCACTTAGCTTAGAGCCTGGATCATTGCAGGCCATCCAACCGAGGATGGTAACTCTTGATGAGAATTACATAAAATGGTACAAGATTAGGCCTCAAAGGGCTTAATACAATGTTCTGAAACCAGTATGCCCAGAAACTGCTAACTAACCTGTTTGCCTCCTGTCTTTCCCTCTTCTCAGTCAACGAATTACATACAGCAGTGGTGATCCAGAGATAGACCCCAAGATCCCACAGGCCATCAGCAAAAAACAGACGAGCACCCCACCTTCTCACCACCCAGCAACATCTCCACTCCAAAACCACTCCCTCCTGATCCACTCTAGAAGAGGAGGCTAGCTGAGAATAAAATGTGATTTCTTCCTGGACAGAATCAAGAGACTGGTCAGGGGCCAGCCCTGTGGTTTAGTGGTTAAGTGCACACACTCCGCTACTGGTGGCCCGGGTTCGGATCCCGGGCGTGCACCGACGCACCGCTTCTCCAGCCATGCTGAGGCCGTGTCCCACATACAGCAACTAGACGGATGTGCAACTATGACATACAACTATCTACTGGGGCTTTGGGGAAGAAAAAAAGGAGGAGGATTGGCAATAGATGTTAGCTCAGAGCCGGTCTTCCTCAGCAAAAAGAGGAGGATTAGCATGAATGTTAGCTCAGGGCTGATCTTCCTCACAAAAAAAAAAAAAGAGAGAGAGACTGGTCAGCTCTCTGAGACTAGGATGAGGGGAAGGGGATGGAGAGGGTGGGAGAAGAAAATGGAAGGCAATTCCGTGCTTCTCTAGGCAAGGCCAATGGGAGAACTTGGCCTTGGGTCCCCCAAGTCTACAACTTCACTACTGGCCCTTATTTACCAATGATAGTCTGTCAGGGGCTTCACGTTTATGACTCTCATTGGAGCCATCACCCCTTCCCCCTAGTCGATGCTTACTGAGATTCAGCTGGGGAAGGAGGGGTTGAAGTACACCAGAGCAGGCCAGGGGCAGCGGTAGGAAGAGGTGGCAGGCAGGGACCCTCCGAGTCCAGTGTAATGCCTGGCCCACAGTGGGCACTCAGCTGTTGAATGGATGACGGGGGACAGGGATGGAGAGAAAGAGCTCAGAGGGAAAGGAGGCTGTAACCTCAGACACAAGACACCTGACCCTGGGAAAGGGAGGGTGACTTGCCCACAAAAACCCACAGGCCTCTTCCTTCCTGGGTCTCAGCCTTTCTATGTAGCAGAGACAGCCATGAGGCTCCAAAGGCCCCAGGCATCCCCCTCTCTACTTCCTGAAGCTGGCACCTGCGGTCCCCCAGCCCTGCCCTTTCTTCTACCTTGGACTGGTGACAGGGACACCTAGGGCCTTTCATTGTAGCCCACACAGCATCACCTTTGGGTTGGACTGAAGGAGCTCCTCAGTGCCGTGTTTCCTGAGGGGAGCAGCTGGGGGAGGGGTGGGGGGGCGGGCACAGAGCAGGAATACTAAAGTTTGAAGAGACCTTCCAGATACACAATGAGAGAAAGGGAGAGAGCAAGCTCCTGGGAGCAATCTCTCAGGAGCCAGAAAAGCAGGACATGTTATTGAAGGGCTCAGGGCCTGGTGAAGAGACCCTGACATCCACTCGGACGTTGAGCAACAGGCTGTGAGATGGGGAGTGTCCGCCAGCTCCCTTCCCGCTCACAGGAGACTTTTTATTGTTTTAACATTAAGTATAGTTTATTGACCACAATATAAATCCTTTACAGTTGGTGAGCTACACACAGCAGAAGCTCCAGCCTGGCCTTTCTGAACTTCTGTGCTCTTGCCAGCACCACCCTGACCCCAGTTACCAGGCATGAAAGCACCGAGACAGCATGAACTCCTTCCTTCCCCTAGCCAGCTAGTCACCAGGTTCTTCCCCCTTTCCATCCATCCTACTTCAAATTCAGCTTTCTCCCCACCTAAGCTCATCTCTCTGAGTGATAAAAACCATACCCACCTTTAGTGAGCAAACACCTTTCTTGCTCAGCTACAGAACAGAAACTGCCTCCACATGGAGCCCACTGGGACCGTGGGGGTTATCTGGGGCTTAGCTTCATCTGAGTGACAGCAGAGAGGAGAGGGTCTAGACCAGCCCCTACTGATGTGCAGCTCCATAGTGTCAATGCCCGAAGGGAAGCAGAAGCCTCTGGAGCAGAGGGTGGGCTCTGGTGCTAAGCTGGGGGTGCAGCAGAGCCCAGCAATTTGGCTGGATACTGACAGCTTCACCTCTGCAGGCCTGCAGGGGAAGAGCAGCTGGGGCCACCGTTTGACAGGTCTGTGTCCACTCACATGGCTCAGGGGTGCGGGTTCACCACCAGCCAGAAGCCCTCCTTTGATAAATACCTTTTAAAAGGACTCTGGCTTTGTCTGTTTTTCCTGTGTAGGCCCAGGGGGTACCAGGTGCCTCCCTCCCCTCTCTACTACTTTGGCTCCTGCTGTGAAGAGAATAATACAACTGTTTTATGGAGAGATGTTTTAGCTAGAGAATAGCTCTGTCTTCCTAGGAACTGGACAGTCTTTAACCAGGAAGGACGTGGAGCCAAAGGGCCTTGGCCAATCTTGCTATCAGACTGGCAGGGGACATGTTACCAGGAGAGAAGCAGACCATCACTTCGTCACACGACCAAAGCAGGGAGGCAGAGGAGAGCATCCGTGGACCTCTAAAACACCCTGGAGACAGCACTGGATGTCCCCCAAGTCACTTGCCCATCACTGGGTGGAGAACTTGAAAAGAATTCATGTTTTAAAAGCCAGATAAAATTAAAGCTTTCTCTACATTCAGGCAGGAGAAAGGCCAGCCCCAGAGGAGCTGTGCAAGGTGCTCAGCACAGAAAGGGCAGGTGCCACTCCAGGGACTCTCAGGCAGCTCTGAGGGAACGTCAGGTCAGACTTTCCTCAAGACAGCCCAAGGGGGAATCTGGTGCCAGCACCTAGAAGAACCAGGCTTCTGTTCCTGTGGAAATCAGAGAATGGGAGGGGGAGGGGGGAGGGGGGGAAGAGAGAGAGTGTGCAGGAGTATGAGTGTGTTTGTGTGAGTGTGAGTGAGTGTGTATGTGTGTGTGTGTGTGTGTATGTGAGAAGTTAACTTCCACACAAAGGTTCCTGTGCTGAGGGTGTGGGGAGGGTATGATACAGCTGGGCTTTCCTCTGGCAAAGTCACTAGAGTCCTTTCTTGGGCACCATGGAGTCGTGGAAGATACAGACCAGGCTGGCAGGTGCCTGCAGTTCAGGGGCAGCAGACAGGTCACGGTGGGTGAGGGACCAGCAAGTGGGGCACCGACTTGTTTCCCCGACAGTCCACATATTCATAGCTCTGAAAGACCAGCTGCTCTGAATGGCTCAGGTAGGAACAGGTCAGGGTGCCCCTGGAAAGGAAGCAGGCTTTGTTGTTGTGTCTGGGAGAAAGAGGAAAGCTCTGGCCCTGCTCTGCTGTCTGGGGAAGGTTGGCTCCATCAGACACCCCTCCCTGCCCTCTGCTCCCAAATCTGCCAAGGCACCGGGGACAGCTGCCTCGCCTGTGTTCCAGATAGCTCTGTGGCTGTCACACCAATAGCTTACAAGCAAGGTGGGGCCTAGAGAAGGGGCTGGGCCTGCTATTCCCAAGAGCCAACAAAGATTCATGGGGTCAGCTTGGATGACTCTCCTCCCACGAGGTGAGGCTGAGGTGAGACTGGAGTCAGAAGTGGGAGAGGGGATACAGGGCTCCTACTTACTGGATGTGCAAAAGCACATGGTGGACTTTGATTTTCAGCCAGGTACAGATTTTGCTGAGAGACAGAGAGAGAGAACATGGGACCACGTCTCACACTGAGCAGCCTGTCAGAAAGCTCGGAGGAGACCTGCAGGTCCCACCCTCCTCGCCTCCTTTCCATCAGGGGCCCCAAATGCCACGCCCACCCCTTCCTTCTCCCTCTGCCTAAGGTGAGCACGTCACCTTTGCTGCAATATCATCTCCCAATGCCCACCAGCTTGGCCCAGGCACGTGCTGGCCCCGCCCCTGGAAGAAAACAAGATATTCATCTTCTCTAGCGATTCCGGGCTTGGCCCAGGCACGTGCTGGCCCCGCCCCTGGAAGAAAACAAGATATTCATCTTCTCTAGCGATTCCGGCTGAAGAGCCCAAGGTCACACATTGTAAGGATTAACCAAATTCTAGCCTGTTTTTCATGCTAATCTAGGTCCAAACATGCAGAGGCTGGGGACCCTGAACCCTTGCACATTGCTGTCTTGGCCACAAGAGTACAGGCCAAATGCTGGCTGCAGGGTTTGCTAAGTAATCAAGAAATCTGGTGGGCATTAAAGCTGGGTTTCCAACCAGGAAAGAGGCTAAGGGAGAAGAGATCAAGGGATACTCACTATGTGTTGTCATCCCATATCCGGTTGGCTACTGCATAAAACATCTGTCAATCAAGTGGGCATAGGGTTAGCCCACCTCCAGCTGCCCGCTTCCCACCACCACAGGCCTGCAGGCAGGGCTGGCCAGGGAGGAGTCACCTGTTCACTGGCCAAAGGGCCGATGTGTAGGAGGAGGCTCTCGGAGACCTGCCCCACCACAAGGGACAGGTGCAGCACTTCGATGGTCAGCTGGGTCACCGTGATAGGGTAGTAGTTGCTATTGGAGATGTTCAAGACGTTCTGGGGATGAAGACAAGGAAAGGGAGGGGTGAGGGTGGCCACCCTTGGAAAGGAGAAGACAATTGGTTACAAAAACCCACGCCTGACCAAGCCCCACCTCCAGTATGGGCCTCAGCTGCTGAGGACCAGTGCCAGGAGCCCCTCGGAGGGGCTCGTAATGGTGAGGGGTCACCTTTGACTAAGATATTAAGCTGGCCCAGGATCCAGTCTCACCCTGCAAAGCTTCTCTCCGTTCAGTCCTGCCCCACCAGGGAGCCTCAGGCACGCCACCCACACCGCACCCTGTGATTTAGTCCTCTGGCTCTGATACTGACCCCTCAGCGTGTAGATTCCCAATCCTACACAATCTGTTAGGGGCTCATAGTTGCCCCTGCCTCTCCCCAGGCTTCTGACACCCTCTAGGTGCCATAAGATCCCTGGCTACTCATGCCAAGGGTCGCAACACCGGACAACAGCTACAGAGAAGCGTTGCTGGGAAGGTGGGGTCAGAGCCCAGGGGCACAGGCACCCACCCACCGTTATGTTGAGGTGGATATCAGCTTCATCAAAGGCCACCGTGGACGAGTTGAGGCCCGCAGGCTGCACGGCGATGGACCGGGGAAACAGGAAAAAGATGATGAGGGAGGAGGTCACCAGGCAGGTGAGCACTGCCAGGAACACGGAGAGCTTCCTGTGGGAAAGCAGACCCGGGGCAGAGCAGCAGAGATGTCTGAACACCAAGGAAACTCGGGCAGAGGGCACCCAGACACCCCTCTCCATAGACAAGGCTCTCCTCTGCACCCCACTCACATCTGTACATTTAGCTCCCCAGATGTGGAGGACCAGCCTAGGCTTAGAAGAGACAAACAGCCTGGCTTCCATTCCCAGCTCTCTGTACCCACTGGCCCAGTAACCCTGAGTAATGCACTTAAGCTTCCTAAGCCTCAGTTACTTTGTCTGTAAAATGGAGATAACTGTACCTACCTCATAGAATTTGTTATGGGCCAATGTAAGAGAAAGCACTAATTCTAGGTCCTGGCACTCAACAAATGCTATTATCACGGGAAGAAGTCAGTCCACATGTATTTTGAAAGTTCTGAATTTTAATATTAATATTCAGAACAGAACATCATCTATCCATCTAATTCAAAATTGAGATATGCATTAAAGAGACAGCGCCTTGTCAGTATCTTACGAGGGGCACCGCCAGATCCAGATTCCGGTGTAGTGCTGGGGGAGGGCACGGGGTGGCTCCCAGACTGAAGCTGAGGACCTTGGGAGGAGGTTGTAGGGATCCATGTCTAATGGACCCAGATGACAAACAGGGTCACCGCCCCCCAGTAAAACTCAGGGCTGCCTCCGAGGTTCTGAAGTGCCTCAGAACAGGGAGCAGCTGGTTTTCCACCTCTTCTGGGAAGAGAATAAGCAGGTCTGAACTGCGACAGCTCTTAGGAAAAATAATTCCCCCCAACCAATTGTAGCCAGGCCATTCCCTCCTTCCTGGAAGGACCTGTAGAGTCAAGAGTCCTCTCTGTCTTTGAAAGGGAGCCACGCCTCTTAGAAGCAGTGATGCCAGGGAGAAGGACACCAAGAGGCCACAAGTGGCATCTGTTGGGCCCCAGCCTTAAACTAGGAAAATCCTTGGAAACAAGGAGCTGGTACATATGAGCCCAGTGAGGCTCAGGCTTTCTGGGGGAGAACCAATGGAGAAAAACTGGAGGGGAGGCAGAATGGGGGGGCAAAGGGGAACAGCCCCCAGGGGTGACAGCCTGTGGAGCTGGGGTAGGAAGAGGGGCTTACGTGTGCCTGGGTTTCAGCCTCCGGTCCCCATAGGGGATGAGGGCCACCAGCTGCTTCTCTTGCACTGTGGAGAGAAAGAAGGTGAGAGGGAGGGCCACGAAGTGTCTGTGACAAATGTTTCCTATGCCAGCCTCTCAGAAGCACCCCTCCACCCCACAGAGCAATGTCAGAAGCATGCCGCCTCTGCCCCAGAGCAGGACTGGGAGGCCTGGGCTGTGCTGCTGAAGTTGGCAGCTCAGCTTTGCCCTCTCTAAAATGGAAGTGAGATTTTCATTAACAGCTGTGAAGAATCTCTGCAAGTCACCAGCAAATCAGAGAAGCCTAGCTTCCTTGGAGAGGTCAATTACAACTTTCTGAATCCTAAGGCACAGTGTTGTGAAGGGAAGAAAGAGGCTGGAAACCCCCTAAGGCAGAAGGGAGTCTCTGCAGCGAGCCGAGAGAGAGCTATTATCTCCCTGGCCAGCCTGAAACTAGGGGACCAAAAGCTGAGAGACCAAACTCTATTCCAGGAGACTCAGAGGGGCCTGGCCCTGGGCCAGCTGCCTGCTAAGATCTTTTCCTGGATTCCAGGCTATTTCCAGAGCCTTGGGCCACTCACCTCGAGGGATCTCCCCACTGCCCTGGCAGGTGGGACAAGTCACAAAGCTGGCACCAGCAGGCCCTTCACAAGGCACACAGGAACAAAAAGGCTTGCTGCTACCGGTGCTGGAGTAGCTGGCAGCCTTGCTGTTGATGGCTGGGTGGGGGGGCAGGATTGACTTGTTCTCATCCTCCTGAGAGCCCAGCCGGGAGAATGTCTTACCCATCGTTCAGGCGGATTTTTCACTAATGAGAAAAGAAGAAAGTTCAGTGCTAAGCTTGTTAGCACTGACACGGAATGTCACTCTGGTTTTAGGTTCTCAAGATAGGCAAGAAGCCCCACCACAATTTCAGCAAGTTCATGCCTAAGGAAGCTAGGGGGTGGAAAATCCAGCAGTTACATAGACTCTCATCAGAAATCTCAATGCATTTCAACTCCTTTCATTATTGTAGGAGAGCTCAATCTGCCTACAAGAGGGAAAAGAAAAAAGCTATTTCACTCGAAGGGACTTCCATAAGTGAATGGCAGAGCCCTTATTTTTTTTTTGAAAAAGTTGCTGAGCTGTCATTCAATTCAAGGGAAGGAAGTTGGACAGGGCAGCTGTGGGGGCACCAATCCGGAGAGTCCCTTCATTCTCTGCAGCAAAATGGCTCTGAAGAGGTCTCTAGAACATTGGGGCAGAAATACCTGAGGTCTCCCAACATGGCTGTGGAAGGAAAGCTTCCATTCCTGAGCCCAGGCAGGTGCTGGCTTAATAGGAAGGCAAGGATTCTTTGAAACAAGGAAGAGAATGGAGGCTCAACTAGTCACAGGTGTGGCTAAGAACGTTAAAATAGTTCTGAAAGGGAGTATAAGTCTCCTCCTCACTGCTTTCTGAGGTAGGGTAGGAAAGAATGGCTGGAGGAGGGTGGCAGAAATGTCAAGGTCCTTCACTAGGAAAGGTGAAGGCTAAATCCAGATTTTTCCCAAAAGACTCAAGAGTGGTGGCGTAATGAGTGGGCAAGGTGAGCAGCACTCAGACCTTCCTGGGCTAATACAAAGGGAGCCTCACCTGGGTCAGGTCTGGGATTCCCCGGCTCCTCTCAGCTGCAAGAGGGCGCGATTTCCGTAGTGCGTCTTTGGGGAGAAGGGCCTGTAGGGCAAGGTGGCCCGAGGGGCCACGAGCTGCGGCCGGCTGGGCAACCGGCCCCTTCAGCAGAGTCCTGGGGGAGCGAACGCGCCGCGTTGGAGGGAGTGGGGAGCAGCGACCTTGGCCTCCCGGAGGTCCAAGCTGCTTCCCGCCCTACTCCCGGGTTCGGCCATGGGCCAGCGGGTGGAAGCGAACGGAATGGTTGGGACATCACTGCGGGAGGATTTCAAGTCCCACCAAACACCCCGAGATGCCGTTGGTCGAGCTTGGTACCCGCGTGCCTGTGTGTTGGGTTAGGAAGGGACACAGAAGGTGCCTTGGTCCTTCCCTCCCAAAGACAAATAAGGGAAGGAGGGTCCAGGGAGCGCCTTACCCCCGGGCGACGGAAGGACATAAAACGTCTGCCAGCGGAACCGAAAGTGCAGGAGCCTGAGGCTCGCCCCAAGCTTTGACTCAGTGCCTCGGGAAGCTCCGCCCCTGGTCCTCCGGGCCCGCCCCCACCCCTCCCTCCCTTGCAGGGACCCGCCCCTTTCCTCCCCTCCCCTCTCTCCCTGCCGGGGGCCGCCCCCTTCCCTCCCTCCCAGGAGCCAGAGAAGTTCTTGGCTCTTCAAAGGTCACCCGAGGTCCCGGACGCTGATTCCTCAAGGACCAGACAGTACAGGCACGAGTTTCAAAGAACCTTTATTTCACCATTCTTTAAGCGGTTATGTACAAGTACAACAGGACCGACGACCGGACCCCAGGGCCCTCCTGGACCCCTGCAATGCGACCTAGATGGTCGAGACAGGTCCCGCACGAAATCAACCCAATTAATTACACATACTCGCCGCTCAGCCTCTACCCAGAAGCCCCGATAAAAACGTTTTAAATAATGAACAGCCTGGCTGGCTTACAGTGTGAATCCTGGCCTATTTATTTAATAACATTCAAGAGTTATACTGTAAATAAACATCATTATGGCAAATGATTAATTAAAAACCATTCATCATAAATACCAACCAGGTTAAATAATACTATTTTACTATCCTTCCCCCTTCTGGCTGGGGGTCACATTCTTCTTTTTCTGTAAGTCATTTTCATGAATAATATCTTTTAGTGTTTTTTGTTACCTCTTCCTTCACCAATTGTACCCAAGGGAGTCATCCTGGGGTTAAACCCAAAGTTTGTCAGAGTTTGCCCCCAACCAAGTTCTGCAAAACACCAGCCTCTTCTTCCTGTTCTATGCTCTCCGGGACTAGATGCCTTTGAACAGATTTCAAACATTCAAGAAGCCATCAGGATTTCCTAGGCCTCTCACACACTCATTTTCCCGCCCTGACCTTTATTGCGATTAACACAGGAGCCTGCCTTTCACTTCCCACGTTTCTATTTCCCCCACTCTACTGTAAATAAGATCTGCCCCGACATTAAGAAAAAAAAGTAACTGTTCAATTTACTTTTCCCTTTAACAGAAGTTTTTTTTTCTTCTCTATAGAATTAGCAAAATATTCCATAATACCTACTGAAAAATTTTCCCTTAAATAAAAGAAAAATGTATGCAAAATTACTACAATAGACACTGCTCAATAGGTGCTGGTGGGTTAATTAGCACACTCCGCCCTCCTTTCACTGAAGTGCAGAGACCCAGAAGGTGGATGTTCTTCAATGCATTAATGGTGTCTCTAAAAAATACCAGTGCCATTACTAAGTCTTGCAGGGAAATGACTTTCTCCTTGAGATGAGAAGAGGAACAAGGTTCCTATCACGCTCTGGGTGTCATTTCAGTACCACATAGCTATGAGGCTTGGGGTAAGTTAGAGAAGTTATGAGAATAATTCCTGAAAACAACTTCCAAGGTTAGTTTCTTTTAGAAACTGACAATTAACAGATATCCTCATAAAAACATCCACATTAACCAAAGAAAAAGACTTAACTTCAATACAAGCAGAAAGAAAAATGGTTCTACAAGAGGTTTAAGTTATACTCTTCAATGCACTCACTAAAAAGGAGAAAAGAGTTTCATCCAAATCAATTGAAAAACTGTCTTCCTAATATTCATTCAATACCTAAAGTGAAAGTTTAAGTTCTGGTCTTTGATTTGCTCCAAAAAATACTGTAACGCAGGTATTGTCTTGATAATTCAATGATGGGCTCTATATAGCTTCATCAGATTAAAAAATAAGCAAGGCTTCTACCCTACACCCCAACAACAGAATAAATGTCATCTCTGGGCAGCAGGCAAAGTTATTTAATATAAGGTTACTCCTCAATAGCGGTGGCTGTACCAGTCGTTGTTGCTGACCTGAAGGAGCTCTGTCACCACCTGCAGGATGTTGTAATTGTGTTTCTTCAGCAGCCTTAGGTTCAGCTGCCTGTCACAGAATCCCATTTCAAAGAGATGGGCCATCAGGGCTGCTGTCTGATCTTCAGAAACTATTGGCTGTGTAGAGTAAGAAAAGCAGAAAATTTTCTGTATAATTTGTTTATCTTATAAATTTTTATCTTGTAAGTCATACTAATCTTTCCAGGTTATTCAAAATACTAGGTAATGAGATGCAAGGGTATTGATACTAATGGGTCTTCCGAGGGGGTAAAAGGACTGGGAAGGCTCCGCTTTGGATTAAGTGTGTTCGTACCCAAAACCGCCAACTAATGAACTGTCCTTAGAACTAGGAGGAGAATGCTTCAGAGGGCACTTTCAGAAGGAAGCATTTTCGGCCAGACGAAAGAAAAGAAGCAAATATACTCTGGAAACCTTTGAAGATAAAGGTAATTGTGATGGGACAAGCATAAGCAAGAGAAGAGACTGTTACGGGAAGATAGTATGGGAAATTTAGTCAGATATGCAAAGGAACTGGAAAGAAACTGCTCGGGAAATTACATCCTGTGCGACCTCCTTGGCATTTTTTTTTTTTAAAGAATAGAAGCGATACAGGGAAAAAGGAGCTAACGTTCATTTACGTCCCTCTTTGTGCCAAGCCCTGGGATAACACATAACCTTCCTAAATCCTCGGAATACCCTAACTCTTAAGTTTACTTACCAATTGTGTTGAGTATCAATTCCCTTATTTATGAAAATGGAGATACAGAATACCTCCTATTTTGCAGGGTTGTTGAGGAGATTAAGATGAGAAAGTATGTAAATGTGTTGAGCAATCTCTGGTATTTCCCTCTATACCTAATTCCACTGTTCCCTTCTTCCCTTTTATTTCAGAATAAATATCTATCTTCCTTTCTAGGTGAATCCTTCCACATGTACTTTGCTTCGTATCTCATTACCTCTTACCACCTCAGAAATGTTTTTCGATGAATTATCCTCTCTCATCTTGATTGTTAACCTCCTTCGCTACTGGCTCACCCACCTTTACAGATGTTTCTCTCTGCCTTACGTATCCTATTTTCTCTGTAGTCCGGCTGCTTCAAAGTGAGGCATACTTGCACTCTCAAAGTCCTCTCGACCCGTTCACACTTCTCTGCCACATCTGACACTTGGCCATGCCCTCCTCATTAAAAGTCCCTTCCCTAAGCTCCAGCACAGAACTCTCCCCTCATTCCACCTAGTTCTCAGTCTTTTTGGCAAAGCTCTCCTTCTTTCCATGATCTTTCAAGGCTGCTTCTTGCTTTACCCATTCCTTTCTGGAAAATCTCATCCAATCACATGGCTCTTGCTCTAACCTGTATAGAAGTGACTTTATCTCCAGGCCAAATCTCTCCCGTGTGAGCCACATGTACATATCCAACTGCACTCTGGATAACTTTACCTGGATGAGCCTCAAATTCAACACTATCCCAAACTGACCTCCTGCCCAAATATATCCTCCTTCCTGTAGCCTCTCTTAATGAATGGTACTATCAATTGCCTGAGCAAGAAACCTGGGATTTATCCTTGACTTGTTTCTAGCCACTTAACCATGGTCCCCAAGGTCTACTATTTCTCTCTCTTTATTTCTCTTCTAACTTTCTTTCCTATCTATATATGGATTCTCAAAAGGATATCTTTACTGGCTCTATCAGCCTCCACACTATAGTGGAGTTATTTTACTAAGAACAAATCTGATCATGTTAATTACTTCCCTAGAACTCTTCAATGGCTCCTCCCACGAGCCATAAAATAAAATCCAAACCACTTAACACACCACCCCACCTACACAGTTGGTCTTTTCTCTTCTTATTCTTCTCAGCCCAAATTCACCTTCCAGGCTTGCATTTCCAAGTCTTTTTAATGGCTACTCTCTGTCTACAATGCTTCCTATCCCTTCTTCCTGGTGGACACTTGTTTTGTCCATTAGGACTCAGTTCAGGCATCATCTACAAGGAACCCTTCCCTGGTCCCACCCACAGCCAACACCCAGTCTGAGGGGTTCCATCTGTCTGAGAACACCGGCACAGTTTCTTACAGTGCACTGTAAATGTCTGTTTACCTTGCTTGTTTCCCACGTCTTTGAGCAGGAACTGGTGTCTTATTCATCTTGTAGCGCCGGCACCCGGAAGGGCTCCCCACACACAGTAGGTCCTCAACAAACATTAGGTCTTTCCCTTTCCTCCCTTAAGGAATTTGGCCAAAGTCATACAGCTAGAGAGTGGCAGAGCTGTGTGTTAACCAAAGACTAAACCTAGAGCTCATGCTTTCTACAATGCCATGCTACTCTCCAACCTAGACAGATGCCATAGTTTTCATCGGTGACTTGGATTTGGTTCAGGAAAATAAGACATACACTGACCTGTGCGGTGACTGGTGGCCCGGCAAACAAGGCCTTGTATGCAGAGGCAGCAACAGACAAAGCCCCCTTCACCAATCCTCCGGCAATGCTGTTCCCATGGTGGTGGTACCTGTGGAGGAAAACCTAATTATCTCCCTAAAGAAACATAAACCATTATTTTCCTACAAGATAATCTGGGCTCTACTCTGTGAAAGAAAATGAGATTTCCTTGAGAAAAAAATCAGATATAAAAAGAGAATGTTGGGCTGGCCCCGTGGCTTAGCGGTTAAGTGCATGCGCTCCGCTGCTGGCGGCCCGGGTTCGGATCCTGGGCGCGCACCGACGCATCGCTTCTCCGGCCATGCTGAGGCCGTGTCCCACATACAGCAACTAGAAGGATGTGCAGCTATGACATACAACTATCTACTGGGGCTTTGGGGGAAAGTAAATAAATAAATAAATAAAATTATATATATATTAAAAAAAAGAGAATGCGATTGTTTTCATATCAGTTTTATAGTTATAAATCTTGGTTTGATGTAAGGCCCAGCTCTACTGCCACAACATATGGGCACTGCAGATAACACTCCACTCTGGTTAGAGTGCCAACTTTCAGTCCCAGCTGAAAATTAATGTGGTCAAAGGCACAGTGGGGTATTGGCAGTCTATCTGCTCCATAATCATCTCAGAGGAAAACACCTCCCAAAGGAAATGTGCTTTTCTGGACACCGTAGGAGGAAGCCCACCTTGACACTGCTCTGAGATGAGTGGGAGCAGAGAGGCAGATGTGTTTAAGAAAAAGTTACCAAGATGCACTTAGTGGGCTTGACCTTCCTGCCTTCTCCCCTGGTACAAAGGGTGAGCTGAATTTGAGGGCACTTCTTTCTGGTCTATGGAATGTGAACACTCTTCAACATCAACTTTAGCCCTCAGTGTTGCTCACAAGCTTTAGGAGAAATAAGAACAAGAAGGAATGATGGCTCTCCGCTGCTCTCTGAAGTGGCACACGCTCTGAGAGGCTCATTTAAGCGGAAGCAATACTAGGATATCCATCTGCTTCTGAAGAGGCTAGACAAGGTCCAGTTACCTTAAGTGGTCACAGCTCTTCTGCCTGCTGTTTACAAGTCCCGATGAGCCTCTGGGCTCTAAAAGCAAAAGAGCTATAGGTTAGATGCAGCATCCGTAAGCACCTAGAGTTTCCTAACTCTCACAGCAAGGCTATTTTTGAGGCAAGTGGCAATCTGATCACATTGTTTAAAGTCTTTTTTTTTTTTCAATATTTGGGAAATTTTGCAGGTTGCTTAAGTAAGTGACAAGGAAAAACTGTCCAGAATGCAATGCAAGGTGACTGTTTATTGAATCACAAAAATTAATTCTATAATCCCATCACACTGATTAGTTCTTAAGTACTTTTAGGTTTTGTTTTTTGAGGAAGAGTGGGAAGTGACTTTGACGGTTTACTCACAAATTCAAGGTGCTATTCTCCTTGTTTTGCAGATAAGGAAACAGAGCTACAGGTGTTAGAAACCTGCTGAACCAGTGCAAGCTCACTCAGTGAGGAAAGGTGGAGCTGGAGCTGGAACCCAGACTGGGCTGGCTCCAAAGCCAGTGTTCTACCCACTACAGCACAATGCCGACCTCTATGAGGTCTCATGTAATATATACTAAGCTAGAGAATAGCAAAAAGAGCATGAGAGTGGAGCACAGACAGAGTGAAAGGGCAAGTTTATAAAAACTGCCAAGAATCACAAAGATAGAGTGCCTATTTATACCTGGTTTCCATTAGAAAGGAGCATAGAAAAGGAGATGAAGCTCAGGCTGGTTGTTACCTCTGATCTGATCAGGGACTGAAGAAACTTCTGGTATGGTAACCAGCAAATCCACTCCTGAAGAACCATGATGCTGTCCATAAGGAGGGCTCCTTTCAGAAAGACACAACGTTGAAAGTAAGTCTAAAAGGAACCTATGGTAACAGTAGAGAAACAGTAAACACAGCAAGGCAATGTCAATTTCTCTACAGTCTTCACATTTCTGATCCAGATCACATGTCTGAATTTAGGGATCAGGTGAGAAGGGCTCATTCTACTTCTGGTTTTCCTTTTCAGCCAGTCAAGCTGGAAAGACTGGCTTCAGTCTGGTCACTTGCCCCCATGTCAGGTGGTGCTGATGAAGGGAAATGTCTCGCTCCCTGGGAGAACGGGTTAAAGTATAGTCAAGGCTCCACTATTTCCCATACTATGAGAGAGCGATGACACAGACAGATCCAGTAGAAAAGCAAAAATAATTTCCATCTGGTTTTATAGTATATTTTTTCCCATAATGGATTAAACTTCCTAATTCTACTTTAGGTTAATAGGAGAATGAGTTTTTCCTGACTTTGCCCATGAATCAACAAAACAGGGAGGGAGGGTCCAGGGATGTTTGTGTTTAAAAACTGGCTCTCAACGATAAAAACTTAGGTAGACATATTATACTCAGATAATTAAGGTTAACTAAAACAAGTATTTTTTTAAATCCAGAATCCATAAATACCGGGAAGTTCAACTTTTATTCATCTAAATTCAGACTTTACCATGGGAAATAAGTCTCTTCCCCTGCTGACAAGAAAATGGGTTTTGAGATCAAGTTGATTCTTCTCTTTATTCTACTTCTGAAGAACAGCCCAGCTAAGGGGAATGTGGATGGTACCTGGGCAGCTGTGGTGGAGGCCCCACCACCTCTGGGGTTAGGGGCACTGTGTCCAGAGTTTGTGAGGTCATGAGGATGGCACTGATGCTCTGCCCCGGCAGCTGGTTCTCCCCTCCAGGGGGTCTCTCCCCAGCCTTGCCTGGTTCCTGCCCAGCCTCAACCCCAGGCTCGCCTTCAGCCCCTCGCTCCATGCCTGGCTGTGAAAGCGCAGAGCTGTACATGGAGTCCCCCAGGGGGCGGCTGGTGTCAAAGCACTCAGGCAGGATGATGATGTAATCCTCTGAAGAAGCAGACGACTGACTCTGAACTTCATCTTTGAGCTCATCCTCCTCTTCCTCCACGACAGCTTCTTCCTCAGCAATATGGACAATCTCCTCCCTCTCATCTCCAAGTGGTCCCTCTTCAGGTGAGGCAAATTTCACTAAAGGATGAAGCAACCAATTTTAAGGTATAAGCTAAAAGCAGCCCCTGGTACTACCCTTACTTGGTAAAGCCTTATGAGTCATGAGCTACAATTATGAAAGCCAGAGGAGAGGGACAAACCACAGGGAAGGGCTGCCGCTGGACCCACAGTCATGGCCATATTCTAAGTCTCTTGAAGCCTATGCAAAGCTGGATAGAACCTAAGTGCACAAAAACAAGTAGGCAGAAACACCCAGGCTCCTGAGCAGCATTATAATCTTAAAACAAGGAGGCCCTATCCCTTTTCCTCTTCACATGATGGTTAATATACTGAGATAGGGTTCAAATCAAAACTGATATACTAGCTAACAGAGCTGCAAAAAGAGAAAATGTTAGGTGGTGAGTACTGCAGGACTGCATGCTACTTTCTTCCTCTTCTTTGCAAAGTAATGTGTAGTCATGGCAGAAAATTGGCAAAACATGGATGGGGGGGTGGAAATATAAACCTATCAGACATAACTACTGTGAACATTTTGGTGTAAGTCCTTCCAGACTTTGTTATGCATTTGTGCACAAATGTGAAAAATATATATGTGTATATTTGAAACAAAAGTGAGACAAATCATATTTAAATAGGTCAAATTTCATTATAATAAATACAAGAGCTTTTCCTATATTATTTTGATGCACTAGAAATTGAATTTTTGGATAGTTCTTGAAATACATGGTATTAGTTCTACCTATCTAATACCCAGAAATTTCCGTTATAAGGGAATTCATCACAGCATAATTCAACCTTATGAAACTTAGTCTGGAACTCCTGCTTCTGCCCACCATTTCCTGGACTGCTGCCCTTGGAGAAAGGAGACAACTCAGCTGCCAATGGGGGTCTCTACTGAGGACCTCTGTTAACTTACATGAAGACTCCTTACTGCAGAATCCAGGCAGCACCACTGGCTGCTGTTCCTCTGTGGCGTGCAGCTGTAATTCTGCCCCTGAGAAAATGCAGAAATGAGTTACGGTGGCTGCTCTGCTCCTGATGCTATAATTAAAACGGTCAGGTAGAATACGCAGAGTCTAAAGAAACAAGCACGATCCGAAGTCTAACAAAGGTCACCCGCCCTCCACTCTGAGAGAAGACGAGCACTTCCACGTATTCAGACCTGGCCATCACAATTCAGGCGCACCCTGCTGGGTAGGGGAATGCAGGGACACTCACCGTGCAGGGACTTCTGTCTGCAAGGTGGGTTGTGATCCGGGGCAGCATCCAAGGTAAGCGATCGGATTACAGTCTCACACACGAACTGGGTCCCACTCAGGTCATCTTCTGCTTCCTCCACTGAAGCAATGTTCTCAGCCCTCCTCTTCACTGATGCTGTGGAATCTGAAAGACACCAACCTTGTCTGCACTTAGTGTTTAAAGTGCTGAGGAGCTTTCTCCAGTTGTGTACCATGCTGATACTATGCCAAGAATAGCTGCTATCTGTACCCTGTGAAGGTGAGGAAACTTCAAAAAACGAGATGGTACAGAAAACCCATTGACGCGCTAAGGTAAGGTCAGTAGAGGGTATGCGTAAAACCAGGGTGTGGTATGGAAGGGGAGGACGCAAATACTTCACAAATATTTAACCCCTTACCAGGAAGTGCTTTAAATCTCGGCCCTTCACTCTCTTCCTGTATCTGCCCCAAGCCTGGCTTCTCTATTAAAGGACTGTCATGTGGCAGAGGAGACATGCAGGGAGTCATATCTGGAGAATGAAGACAGGAGAACAATCAACCAAGAAAAAGCACCCCATCATCAATAGTCAGTGTCCAGAAGCAACAGCTCACAGGCTTCTTGCCTCCTAGAGGGCTAAAACAAACCCAGGTGTGTTTCAAGGCCTGTTGTAAAGAAGTTTTCCAGACCATCAGGTGCACAAGTA